TAAATAAATAAATAAATAAATAAATAAATAAATAAATAAATAAATAAATAAATCTTAATTTTCTCAACCAAACAAAAAGGAAATTTTGTGGGCAACATTTTTAACAGCTGTGGAGCCACAAAAACTGTTTGAAATGAGGATTTGTTCTGGTTTTGGGCAGACCCAGAACTGTCTGTCAACTCATGTATTTGCTTTTCACAATTTGTTGTCTTTCTAACGTCACATTTAAAACCTGATACTGTTAGTTTGTTGTTTAACAGACAAAATAAAACATTTTAAAAACAGATGATATTTCAAACAGACAGGAGCGCAGATATAACATTTTTTCTGGAAAATCCCAGTAAAAACAAAACAAACTGATACACTATTTTACTCCATCACTCTGGTAAATGTTTTTTTACAACAAAACTTAGGAAAAATATGTATTAAATGTTTGACAAAATATGTGATGGAGAGTCGCTGAAAAACCCTCAAGGTGCTTATTAAGTGGCGATCTCATATGAGTAATTATATTTAGGAGCAATAATTAATTTGACTTCAACTGTTCTTTAGAAACTTCTGTGAGGGATGTGAGAAGACTTGACCTTCTATAATACACTAACTACAACTACAAGTCGAATACTGGTGAAATTCACTATTAAAAGTAAAAATATTACAAAATGCTGGGGAAGTAACTTTTTTATAGAACTATAAATGAATAAAGCAATTCTTGCCTGAAACAGTCACTGGGAYGGTTAGGCTGTCTATGATTTACACAGAATTGTCACGGTCTGTGTTAATGTTGGTTCTACTTTGGTTTACTCTGTTTACTTCCTCCTGTCTTTGCTCCAGCCCCGCCCACTCTCACCTGTTCCTCATGTTTCTTTCCCAGGTGTTTCTTGTTTCCTCTCATTAGTTAGCCTTTATATTCTGTGTCCTGTGTTCAGTGTTTGTCGGATCATTGTGCTGTGCTGTTTTGTTTCATGTTCTTTGTCTTGTCATGCCACTTACAACAAATGAAATCTTAGAACCCATAGTTAGGCTCTACAACAGGGCCTACAAAATTCATAAAAAACTTCCTGGTTGGACTCATCACTGTACAGT